TAAATTAGTACATTAGATACAACTTAATTTTACATATATTTTAATATATTTTAATTTTACAGGCAAAAACAACAAGAGATTTAATTAATAAATTATCATATTCCACTTCTGATATTGAAGTTCGTGAAATCGTAAGTCTTAATATAAATTGGCTAGACATTATTAAGAAAAATTTTGAAAAAAGAAAAATATAAATAATCTAAGTAAATATAAACAATTTATAGAATATAAATTAAAATTAATCCATTGTATTAATACAGATTTCACAATTTTCATTACAAATGGCTTATGTACCATTTCGATTCTGTGGAATCGGATTTTTTCAATTTGGCTTCAAATTTCTTCATAAGGTATGCTACAATTATTATCTAATTACATATCTACTAAAAGTAATAAAATAATTGTAATAAATATTTAAAACAATATTTAAAACAAAAACTTATATATTGTCTTTATTTTTAGTTTATCATGTCCATTGCGACCGTTTTAGTTATAGTAATACAAGCAAATGTAAATAAGTAAGAAATTTTATTAAAACAGAATCATATTAAATCATGATAAAATCACAAAATATTGTTAACGATAAATAATAATCAATCCACATAATGTCTAGTATTTATAAAACATGTTATATAATATAAATATTCTCTAGCTAAAATTAATAACATTTTCTTTAAAAAAAAAAAAAAACAAGTGGTAAATATTCTATTATGTTTTCATATCTATTTCTACGCTTTTTTCCAATTTTTCATTTTATAAGAATCATTCTTAACATAAAATTTATTCATATGATAAATAAAATTGAATATAATTTGTACCAAAACAAAAACCAGTGCTCTATATAATACACAATTATATTTATGTATATAATCTATTTATTATTATAACTAAAATCTTTTGTGTGATGAAATCTTGAAATCTTTGATGTTTAATTAATAATATTTTAAGATTTCTGCTATAAAATACAAATGCTTAAATAAAAAAATAAAGTTTGTTAAAAATAATATTTATACTTTTGTTATATAAATATCTATTTTATATAAGAACAAATAGATACAGATAATACCCATCATCTATCCCCTTGTGATCCAATCGCGTCGCGTAAACTTTATAGATTGATTATACCTTAATATCCATAAGTGCTTTAATAAAAATTACAAAGATCTACTATACCATTCGAAGGTGGTACTACTTATACAACTATCTAGTCAACAGAAATGCAGTTTGAAATAGCATCGGTATGTGCAATGACCAACCGTATTCGAATGATTTTGACGCCATTTCTGATAATCAGTTATGTGTTTGGTTTAAGAATTGCTAGTTTATCTAGAAAACATTTAAAACTATGGTTTAGTCTTTTATATATACTATTAGTTTGGTTGATTTATTATTTTCTCTTGACGTCTGCATTCATATCTTCTTTTAATAAATATAATTCCATCGAGTACCACATTTTCTATGCCCTGGAATTGTTTATAACATTACTGTCAATCGTGTTTAGTGTATACCATGAGAAGGTGAGAAAATAGTAATATGTACTTATTAATAATAAACATTTTCAAATATATCTGACTACTACAATATCTAAAGTAGCTGTAAAGTTTTTCCATTATAATTCATTACTTTATATATATGTTTAGTAATAAAAATTGCCACAAAATCATGAAATTCCTACATGTTGACGCAATATACACAAATAAATACACTTTTCTTACTTAAATCAATTAATTAATTTGTACCGTATAAAATAATGTATAAAATAACACAATAAAAACTATTTATATGTCTTTAAAGAATAAGATACATACGATATTAGACACAATATTAGCTATATAAAATCATCAAATTTCTGAACAAATAATTACTTATCTCATTACATCTTTGTAATAGAAATTTCGAAACTGTCTAAAGAAGCTTGATATCGTGGATGACACATTGCTTAAACTCGGAACAATAACAAATTACGATAAACTACGTAAGAAAACAATATGGCTCATCTTGGGATGGTTCCTGATAGTCATGTTAATGAATTGTGGGACAGCATTATTCGTAAAACATGAATTTAAGTGTGATATTGTAGCAGCCATGCTTCTCCTCTTTATACGAAACTACTCCTTTCATATTAACGTTATCGGTGACTTGACTACTGCAACTGTTCTTACGTTGGTACATTTTTTTATATATACGATATTACTTTATAGCAATTATATGCAATGAAATTATTAAAGCTAAACCATCATGCAGAAAAACTTAAAATTTTTTTAAAATATTTCTAAAAATGTTTTTAGATATACATCTATTACCTCTTAATACATTTACTTGCTAATAACAATATCATTATTCACCAACTTCCTTTTTATATTTAGATATATAGGACTAAAGTTTGATCAAATCAATAAACACCTTCAGGATTTAACGGGAGATGACAGATATGGAATAAAATTGGCTTCGGAAAATCTCATGATACACTCACATCGACACAGACTTTCGAAAGCTCTAAGCAGTCAGTGCATAATATGGACTGTTATGTAAGAATTAAAGTATACGTAAATTCCCGCAATTAAATGCAGGAATTTTACTTATTGTTAGTAACATTTAATATTGTGTACGAGTAGACATCTTCATTTGGAGTTAAACAAAATATCTCGCGAGATAGACACATTACTTGGAACACAAATGTCTTTTAAAATGGCATGTTATTTTGGTTGGATTGTGATTGACTTACGCATAATTTTTTCCGCAATGCTTATCAACAATTATATAAAAACTAATAGATATATTTGTGCTGTTCTGCATTTCGTCTGGTTGTCTCATAACGTTTTGAAATTTCTGCTCATTAATTACGTGTGCGAAACAGTCAGCGCCAAGGTATTGATATTTATTTAATTTTGAAAAACTTCTATTTTCTTTAAAAGATACAACTTGACTATTAAATACATTTTATTATTAAATCAGAAACTGTTTCAATTTTCAACATATTCCAATTTTAGGCAAGTGCAACAGGAGATTTATTAAATAGATTATCTTATTTCACTTGTAATGTTGAAATTCATAAAATCGTAAGTTTTAAAATAAATTTACTAAACGTCATTAAAATAAATATTATGTAATTAACATTTATTTCCATACAAATAACCAATAAGATTGCATGAAAAGTGATTCATTGTATTAATATAGATTTCTCAGTTTTCATTGCATATAGTTTATGCACCACTTAGATTCTGCGGAGTCGGATTTTTTCAGTTTGGCTTCAAATTTCTTCACAGGGTACGTTATACTTATTATATAATTACATAGATACTACAAATAGTTACTTTCGTGAAATATATTTAAAATAAAAACTTATTCACTATCTTTATTTTTAGTTTATCATGTCCATTGCAACTGTTTCGATCATATTAATACAAGGGTACACAAAAAAGTAAGCATTTATAAGATATATAACAAATTTACAAAAATAATTTAAATAATAATCTGCATATAATGTATAATTTATAAAACATATTATATGACATGATTTTCACACAAATCTCAAGGAAAAAATAAATATTTCTTATATCTTATTTTCATATCTCACATTTTAATATTATTTTCAATTAATATTATTAGATATTGATTCAAATCAACATTATATATTTGATAATATTATTAAATGGTTATAACTCCTCGATCAAATAATAAAAAACAGAAATGTCATAAACAACATTAATATCAGCATATTTTAATATTACATTTTCAATTAATATTATTGGATATTGATTCAGATCAACATTATATAATTTGATAATATTGTTAGATAACTATAATGACTCTTCGATCAAATAATAAAAAACAGAAATGTCATAAGCAATATTAATATCTGCATCTTATATGTTTGGGTAAAAAGAAGTGACATATCCATCATCAATTCTTTTCCGATAGACTGCGATATAAACTAGAATAAATTGATTATTTCATTATCTATAACGCCTGAACGAAAATTACGATCTACTATTCTTACTATTCAGTACAACTGATGCAACCATTTGGTTAGTAAGAGAAGTATAATTTGAAATCACAACAGTGATTATCATATTCGCAATGAAGAACATTTCGTCAGCTTTATTGCTACTTTTGACGATCAGTTACGTATTTGGTTTGAGAATTGTTGAATTTTCAACATATCACCGAAGATATTTCAATCTCTTGTACATGCTGCTGTTCTGGTCGGTTTATTATTTCCTCTTCAGCTATACAGTAATGTCTTACGTTAGCATTGATGTTTATTCTCTTACATATCGTATTTGTATTTATGTGGAGATTTTCACAATGTTATTGACAATTGCAATTGGAGTGTATTATAATAAGGTAAGAAAATCTCGTCATTAATCGCTCACTCAGTAATAAGTAATTTCAGTTACATTTCGAAATAATACAACTTCATTGTCTGTATTATTATAGAATTAAATTTTACATATAGGAATAAAATTTTTAATTCATAACTTCTATATTTGATATTATATTTTATATTATAATTTATTTTTCCTTATCTCTTATCTTATTTTTATAATGAAGAAACTTGTCATAAAAATATAAATGCTTTGCAAATTGATACAATATATATAAGTTATTGTTAAATTTCTTTTTTCAATATATTTAACAAATTATTGTTTCATGCAAAAAAGAAATATATTATAAGAATGCTCTTTATATTCAATTACATCCCTTGGAAGTTAAGATAATTACGTTATTAGACATAGGATAGACAAGTTTTCAGATAAACATTATTTCTTTGTGCATTATCACGCATTGCGTTTTACATCAGAAATTTAGGGACTGCTTAAAAAAGCTTACAATTGTGGACGATACATTGGAAAAACTTGGAACAACAATAGATTACCACAAGCTGTATATGAAGACGATATGGTTCGTCTTGAGTTTGATCATAATAGTCACATTATTAACTTATATAGAGACTCGATGGCTGCAAAATGAATACAATTATGACGTTACAACAGCTATCTATATCGTCTGTATAATAAATTATTGTACTCACGTTAATTGTATTAGAAGTCTGATTTTTACGAGTATTCTTGGGTTGGTATATCTTTTATATAAAGAAGTTATCTTAGTAGAATTATATGTATAAGGAAGACCGGGGCTCGTCGGCACAAGAGACAAGTTGGCAATGCATACTGTTTATGTATTTATAGCAAAAAAAACAATGAAAAAATTATCACAAAATATCTTTTTTATGACATGCGTATTTTTTCCAAAGTTTTATTTTAACCAAACAAGTATTACAACAGAAATAGAGAAAACTCTAATTCAAGAGGTGGCAAGTAAATCAAGCGTTTAAAAAAATCGTATTGACGTACCATTAGTTAAAAGAAAAGTTTCTGTTACTATACAACATGTCATTTTGAGGAACAACAGTAATTTATTGTAATAAAATGACTCAAATCAAACGTATGTAAGGATGTGGTATATTAGCTCATATCAAGGCACGCTTAGCTTGTTGTTGCCGCTCGCGTGAGACCCGTGTGAGTATGTGATTTACTACCTACAATGCTGATAGAAGCTAGATATATATTTACATTAATATTTTTACTTTGGAGAAAGCTACATCTAAAATAGTTTCCAATTGTTTTTCTGCAACAGCATTTTGCTATTCAATCATTCAAAATAACTTTAAAACATATAATCTTTACCAAGAAGTACATATCTGTTACCCGTTTTGTGTTTCTATTACATTTTTATTAATTTAACATAAACTTTTGTGGCATAGCCAACTTACCCTACTATCGGGACAGCTACAATGCAGCATGTTCGTATTTCACTTATTACAAAGAAACTACACAATATACAGGAGCGTCCTGGCATGAAAATGTAGAGAAAGGTTCTCTCTATCATATTAGAACTGTTTAATCATGATAATTGGTTGTTTAAAAACTCAAATGCCGAAATTGTGAAAACTGTGCCAAGGAGCCTTGGTCTCCCCTAAATTAATAAAACTATATTAGTAATACGTGTAAAAGAATAGTTATTTGTGTAACAAGTGAGGTAAGATGAAAATTCCCGGGTGTGGAGTTTACGCACGAGCCGAAGGCGAGTGCGGTAACCGCACCCGGGAATTTTCATCTTTACACACGGCTTACACTCCCTATTTTATGTTGCAAGTGCCTGGAAAGTGGTCTACGCACGCGTAGCGTGCGTAATGGGGCACTTTCCATGCACGTGTTGCATAAATTATATTTCTTTAAAATCTTTTAAAGATTTAAATGCAATATATTTTTGCATATATATATGCTAATGGTACAAAACATTATCCACTAATCTTTTCTCTATTTCAGATGTATAAAAATAAAGTTTGATCAAATTAATAAATTTCTTTGGAATTTGACAAGAAATAAACATAGAATAACGGCAATTTGGGAAGATCCTGTGTTACATTCGCATCAATGCAGATTTCCAAAAGTTGCAAACGATGACTGGCTGATTTACGTTTTAATGTAAAAAATAAATGTAATTTCTGAAAATAATGGTAATTGCATATAATCAATTTAAAATATTGCATTTACT